CCTTCAGAAGAAACCACTGTGTACCAGAGATCTTGTAAAGTTGACAAACCTCTTTCATGGCTATGTGAAAAGAACACCACTCCTTTTCTATAACTATTCATGGTCTGTTCTCTCTTTACAGTTTGTTTTCATCTAAGGGCAGACGATATCAAGACAAAAACTCTCAAAGAATAAAAAGCTGTGCTCAAAGCTATCATAATTAATAGGTGTATTAGATGATATTATGCAGTCAACAGCAGGAGGCAGTAAATAAGGTGGGGAGGCTGAGAGCTGTAGCCTTGTTTTTAAGGTAATTCTATATTTAATACAATGTAAAGCAAGAAAGAACCTGTTTTCCCTGATGCCACATGATAATTCCCACAGCATGTTTTACTTATTCAATCTGCCTCCCATTAAGGTGCTTTAATGCACATTCATTTCTCCTACACAAAGGAAGACAGAATTGACAGAAATGACATGTTTATCCTAGAAAAGGAGCACATACAGATAATACTGTCTCCTCACACGAAAACTCTATGATTAGTAGAAATCACTTTCTTGTTTTTCATGATCGTTCATACAAAAACACATTTCCAAGTGTTTCTGTGCTGATTTGGAGTGAAAGGGATGAACAGCACATAAGAAAAACGACATTTCCTACAACACAGAAATTCGAATCATTCCTGTGTGATGCAAAACATTTCCAAAGCAACATGCTTTAAATTAAAAACCAATACATTTCAGTACAAAATAACTTTCCAAGGAAGTGTTACCAAGTTCATTTTCTAAACAGCTTCTCAGGCTGCTACTTTTATGCCCAAAAGGGCTTTTTCTGACTGCTTTTGTTATTTTGCATCAGTACCTCCAGGATGTACCTTCTGTACCTCTTCCTAGGCCCATTATTCCTGCATAAACAGACGTGGATGTACTAATATGTTGACAGCGAAGACTAGCATCCCCAGTAACAAAACCAAATCTGAATACCACTCCACCCTTCCTATTTTATATAGTCATTGTTTAAGAACATAAACAATCCCCTGGCAACCGGGATTAGGGTACAGGGTACACGCCTAAGCACCCAGCCAAAGAATTGCGTGCCCTCTCTCTTGTCTAATGAAAATATCAAGGCATTTTCTTGTGCCATGGAAACCTGAATGAAGAGGGGAATTTAACCTGTATGTCTCACTTCACAGGTGAGTTTGCCCAGGTCA